GGGTATGGGGGAAGTTGAGGTCCACAGATCTTAAAGTGGCCAAGGTTGAGAAACACTGTGCTAGAGGGTGAAAGGAAAGGGTCAACTACTGAAGAACAGTGCAACTGCTGACACGGGAGTAAGAAGAAAAAAAGGAAGCCGCCTAGTAGCCCTTTACAACTGTTTTTCCTTTGGAAAATAGGGGCGCAAAGAGAGAAAGGGACTTTATTTTAATCACTCTTTTAATTTAAAGATCATTCTGGCACAGGGGCCCAGTAGTTTGGAGGTGGACCTCTCTCACCCCTTCCCGGTTCCTGCTCCCGTCAGGCATTTCCGCCCGGTCCGTGGGTTGCATTTCACACTTTCTGCACGACTCCGGCCTCCGTCAAAGCCTTGTAATGGGCAGGTCTGAATTGGTGCAGATACACAGACATCTTGCCAGGAACGGCTGCCTTCTCTTCCAAGCCTAATGGAGGAAGAAAAAGAAGGGAGTTTTTCTTCTGTCCACACACTAGAACTAGAACATTTGGAGCAACGCGAGAAGTGGAAACGAGGGAATGTGGTGCGATCGTAAAGCATGAATCTAAAACCTTCCGGCTGTCCTTTTCTCAAGCCAAGCATTTTAGAAGGCGTTTCAGAGGAAGACGTCCAATTGTTAAAAAAAAAATGGAAACGTATCACCCCCCCCAAGATTGGAGAAGTCCCGCCTCACCGAGCTGTCTACCAAAACTCTGTATCTTCTCCAGAGCTTCGGGGACCTCTTCTAACCGCTGGACCACGGCTTCCACCTCACCCACGGCGTAGCCAAAATCCGCCTCGTCGAGATCCACGTGCAGATCACCCACACGGTATTTGTGCCGCGTGGTCACAAAGCTGGCAAAGATTTGCAAGTTGAGTTCTTCTACCGCTTTGGACACACAGCCCCTCCAACTCTGTCCTGGGTCTTTGTCCAATAACGCACAGATGCGGGTCACGATATTTTGGGGACATGTCACTTCTTGGTATTGCGTGGCAGCCTGGGCCCGGCTCGAGACCTTCGGGGGCTGCAAAGGCGGTGGCGAGGGGTGGTTATCCGTCCCTGCCGTGCACGGGGTCCCCTTGCTTCCCGTAACCCCGGCTGCTAACCGGGGGGGACATTTTAGCTCCCAGCCAGCCCCCTCGCGTTCCCGCAGCCAGTGATCCGCTCGAGTGAGGCACCAGTCGGGTACGTCGTAATAGCTGTCACGAAAACACACGCTGCCTTCTTGGATCGCCCCCAGCTTCGCTAACTTCTCGAGGGTGCTGGGCCCGAAAAGAAACTTTTGTTCCACCTCGATGAATCCGGAGACCCGATCTGGGGGAAAACAAGGAGGAATCCAAAATTGCAAGCAAGCCTAATGAGTTTTCTGCAAAAAATTGGACTCTCCTCTTTGTGTCATCCTCAGCTGGTTCTGCTATTTTGGAGATCATGATAAGGAAGAGCTATTTTAAAATACAGGTGGTCCCCAGTTTAAGAACGAGTTCCGTTCCCAAGGTCTGTCCGTAAGTCGAATTTGTACATAAACCAGAACAGTGTTATTGTATAATGCTGTGTAAGTAGTATCGTGTAATGAACTCGAACCATTGTGTATGTACCTCGAATTTTGCTATAAAAGGCTCCGTTCTTAACTATGGGTCATCTGTAACCTGGGGGTTCTTAATCCAGGGACTCCCTCTACACTTATACGATTCTGAATTCAAAATTGAAAAGGGACTTTGGAGCAGATGTGGACGTGCAAGCTGCCCACATCTGCTTCAAAGCCCCTTTTAGGCTTCAGATGCACCTCCTAGGAGACATCAGACTGGGAAATGCTTCTAAGGGGTCATTACTTGATTAACAAAACCATCTTCCTCTGTCCTCGTCTTTCCAAAACAAAACAAATTCAGGGTCACAGCCTAGACTGAAATAAGATGTGCTTTCAATCTCCCTAAATAGCCTTTCCAGTGTTTCTCCCTCTGCCTTTCTGTTTCAGGAACAGGCCATTTTTCATTTAATGACAGCCCGCTTTTCTTTCACAACCTGAGGACGCTTCCCTCCACCCGTTTTATCCACGGGGCCATCCTGCGAGGTTGGCGAGGCAGACCCAGCGGCGAACAATAGTGCCGCCTCCATCAGGGAATGTCACGGCCGAGGGAGCATTTGAACCCAGGCCTCTCGAGCACTGGGCTGCCCGGCCACGATTTTGGGAGAAAGCCACCATGAGCCGCGTTTACACAAGCTACTACGGCACAAACCATGGTCTGCAAGCTACATCACATGCGGGCCAAGGAAGAAGCTAAGATACCCTGGTGGCTTTCAGTTTCGGGGCTACGAAACGCAGGCGGCCTTGAGGCGAGGGAGCTCCTGGCTTCCCCAGCTGCCATCCAGCGGCGCTGGGGATTTTCGCAACTGCGATCTTCGCCTTCGTTGCACGCTGCACGTCCGTTGCACATTGCACGTCCGTTGCACGTGGCACGTTGCACGGCGGCTGCCGGCTAAGCCTATTCTTCTGGTCAGGCTAGCAGGCAGGAGAGCGCCAGCGCACCCCGGGCTTTTGGGGGGTGGAAGTGAGGCCGGGGGGCCGCCGTCAGCGCAGTCCGCTTTAACT